GGGAGGAGAAGGGGTCAGGAGGAGGCGGAGGAGGAGAAGGGCATGTCCCCATCCGTTCTTTATTTACGATTTCACAAATGTCCAGAGGCATCTGAGATTGGGGTGGTGGTGCCATTTCAAGCACAGACCGAAACCTCAAAGGTAAAACTGAACTCACCGAACTGCTGAAACCCGCCCCTCCATCGAATACCCAAGAGCCTGTCCCACTCCTTCTTGTGCGTTGCTGAGTTGCACTTGCCCTGCGAGGCGGCGGCCAGCTTTGCCTGCTGGCTCTTCTTTTTCAGCTTTGCCAAGTTCGCTCCAGCTCGATTCTTCGATGATGCCGCCGCTCCTGTATCCTTTGATGCCTGCGCCACTCCTCTCTTCTTTGATGCCACCGCCGCTCCTGTCGTCTTTGATGCCACCGCCGCTCCTGTCTTCTTTGATGCCACCGCCGCTCCTGTCTTCTGTGATGCCGCCGCCGCCCCTGCCGTCTTTTTCTCCGCCGTTCCCACGGCGTCAGTCGCATCCTCCTCCTCCTCCTCGTCTTCCTCCTGGCTTTCATCTTCTCCGCTCTCGCTCTCCTCGCCCTCCGCGTCGGGCGGTGCAGCAGCATCACCGTCGCCATTATCATCCTCGGGCGGGTCGGCTGCACCTGGATCCTTCTCTTCTTCGCCGCCCTCCTCCGCCGCATCCTCCTCCTCACTCTCGTCACCGTCGTCCTCTTCGTCCTCCTCCTCCTCGAAGGCTACTTCCTCCTCTCCCTTGTCAGCCCCATCCTCGGGCAGCTCAGCCGTCTGCTCTGCAGCGTCCATCGCGGCCGAAGCGGCCTCTACAGCGGCATCCTCACCACCAGGCTCATCAGCAGCGGCACCTCCCGGGGCACCGACGGGCTCGGCCATCGCGGGCGCGGTGGCCTCGAAGCCGAGAGAGCGGAAGATGTCTTGGAGGCTGCAGTTGTTGTGCATCGCGGCGGCCCCGAAGATCTGGCCCAGCTGCTCAGGGCTGAGCGCCGCGGCCAGCGACTGGCCCTCTTGTGGCTGCGCTGGCGACTGCAGACTTGCAGTGCTCGCAGCACTGGCTGGAACGGGTGTCGAGGGAGCTGGTGCTGCCAGCGGCGTCGCTGAAGTCCTCGAACGTTTCTTCTTTCTCTTCAGTCCTGCCTTCGATTCAGATGGCGGCTGCGTCGGCGCTGCAGGGGGGCCCGCTGGAGACGACGGCGTGGCCTTGGACGGGGGCGTCATTGCTGGCGGCCGCGGCGACCCCGCGGGAGATGGCGGCAGCGGCGGCGGCGCCGCTGGCGCCGATGCCGCCTCGGCTTTCGGCGTGGGCGGCGGCTTGGGTAGCAGCTGAAGCAGTACTGGCGCCTTCACCGCTGTGGGTGCCGCCACCGCTGCGGGCGCCTTCACAGCTGCAGGTGTCGTCGCCGATGTTGCCTTCGGAGCCGACGGGAGCTTCGTCGATGGCCCTTTAGACTTCACCGTCCCTGGCCCTGGCAACGCTGGAGCCTTTGCCTTTCCGATTGCACTTGCCGCGGCGAAGGCTTTCATGATCGGGGCGCCTTTCACAGGCGGCCCCATCCTCGGGGCCTTCACGGGGGCCCTCTTCACCACTGAGGTCGCCGCAGAACTCGCCGCCGTCGAACTCGCCGCCGGCGATGCTGGAGCCTGAGAGAGTGCCAACAAACATCCCAAAAAACCTCATTCTCCTCCTCATCCTCCTCATCCGCCTCCTCCTCCTCCTCCTTCGTATCATCATCATCCTCCGCTTCGTCATCATCATCCTCCTCCGCATCCTATCCCCCCCTCATCCGCCTCCTCAACGCCCATCGGGCCTCGACGAATTCACCGAACGTATGCGAACAATCCACTGGAGGCCATCTGAGAAATGCATCCCAGAATATCGGAGACTCGGGGGGAATACTCGTCCTCCTACTCCTCATCCGCCTAGTACTCCTCATCCGTTTCCTCATCCTCCCCACCCTGGAGGCTCACGGACGCCCCTGAGTGCCTCTGGAGGCCCACGGACGCTCATGCACATCTGAACTGGGAGGGGCGTGAGCAAAGTATAGCATGAGGCGGGGGAGTTCGGCAGATAGAACCGTCGGTGAGTGGTTCGTATCGGTGTTGTACTGGCCAAATGTCGTCGTTGGCATTCTCATCGTCGGCCGTCGATCGAGCTCGAGCTTTAGGGAATGCCCGACTGCAGCCATAGAAACCACAGACCCACATGGCTGAGTCGCACCCCCCGTCTTGTCATTCGAATGGGTGAGGGGCATCGCCGTAAATCGCATAGCGGTCGTTGCGCCACATAGCGTGGCAAGGATGACACGAAAGCCTGGCATGTACATGGAAGAACTGCTATAGCAACTCAACTAGATGTAAGTCTTGGGCCACAATTCGCAAAGAGATAGCAAGCATACGAGAGATGAACAAGAGAGAACCTCGCCACCTTCCGTCTTCACTTTCTTGTCCCCCGTGAGAAGCCCAGGCTGGCCCGAAGACGGCGTCCCAGTAGGCTTGCGTTTGACTGGCATCGCGATTAATGCCTCGGGATAGGGGGTCGTCGTGTCGGGCACAGCGCTCCGAGCCACGAAAGTTGCGCGGGGAAAGGGAGGACGCGTCGAGGAGGAGAAGGACGCAGGATGACACACTGACTCATGAGAGGACGCGGCGACGAGGAGCTTACAGTCTTGGCATATTCTCTCACGGGGGTAGCGGGGGCGTTCTTAGGCTTTGAGACGTTTGATCATAGCACATGTCGCCCTAGACAGACCAGCAATCACACATCACGGCCTGGGGGGGTTCATGTGTCCCTGTGTCTGACGCACATGGACGCAATCGTTCGCACATCCTTCGCAAGCTTTTCGCACATTGCGGCGGTCGACCAAACATTCGCAACACTTGTCCAACCCACGCGAAAGCTTACCACTTCGCAACTTCGCAACTCTTTAACTTCGCAACTTCGCAACGTCGCAGCTACTTAACTTCGCAACTTCGCAACTTCGCAACTCATGAGCTTCGCAAGTTCGCAACGCCATGAGCTAAAGCTGTCAACGTTCGCAACTTCGCAACTTCGCAACTCGTTACGTTCGCAACTTCGCAACTTCGCAATGCATGAGCTTCGCAACATCGCAAGATCACAAGACAACGCTGCATAACATTCGCAACTTCGCAACTTCGCAACTTCGCAGCTCACTAACTTCGCAAATTCGCAACTTCGCAATTTCACAACTCGTTAACGTTACAACTTCGCAATTTCGTAACGCATTCACTTCGCAACGTCGCAACTTCGCAACTTCGCAACTCGATACGTTCGCAACTTCGCAACTTTGAGAGCACAGTCGCAACTTCGCAACATCGCATCTTCGCAACTCCCGCCGCATCCTCCTCCTCTTCCGCCTCCTCTTCCTCCTCCTCCTCCTCTTCCTCCTCCTCCTCCTCATCCTCATCTATATCCTCTATCCCCCCCTTCCCAGACTCTCTCCTCCTCCTCCTCTCCTCCTCCTCCTCCTTCTCCTCCTCCTCCTCCTCCTCCTCCTCCTCCTCCTCCTCCTCATCCTTCTCATCTCTATCCCTGCACTGTTCACGCGCCGCTCGCGACTCGCGCGAGCCAGCGCACAAGACGCCACGACTGACGCGAACTCGCATGCATTGACTGCGCGGATGCCGCGACCCCCTCCCGCAGCAGCGCAGCAGAGAACAGGAGGCGTAGGGCAGAGGGAGGGAGAGAGAGGGATAGAGAGAGGGGCGATGGGGGAGAGAAGAAAAAGACGAGAGGTCGGGGGGAGAGAGAGGGCGTGGGAGATGGAGGGGGGAGGGGTGGAGGGGGAGAGAGAGGTATCAGGTCAAGTAAAAAGAGAGAGGGAGGTAGATGGAGAAGGGAAGAGGAGGAGACAGCTGCAGGGGCGAGGGCGCACGCAGACGCTTCAGCATCTTGGAGCCGACGCCCTTGGCCTGGAAGCGCACATGCAGACCTGCGCGCGGCGGGGGGTGAGCACGCCCCGCGCCCATCTCCTCACACATTCTTCATTCGCTTCCTCCTCCTCCTCCTCCTCCTCCTAATCCTCTGCTCCTCCTCATCCTCATCTCCCCCCTCCCCGTCGCCTTCATCATCCAATCACCTCCCTCATCTTACCCTCTCCTCTATCACCCCGTTCACTTCACCATCTCCGTCCTCGACCCCTCAACCCACTCCATTCCTCCGATCTTGACGTGCAATTACCCTCTCTCCACAGCATCATCCTCCATCTACTCGAATTGGTAGTAGCCTTGCAATTGCCACGGATGCGGACATGCATGCCACTGCGCGTGGATCATGCGGTCGCTATTACGACTCCTCCCTCCTCCTCCTCTTCATCCTCCTCCTCCTCCTCACCCATCCGCTTCCCCCCCTCATCCTGCCCTTCTTCCTCCTCCCTCTCCTCATCCTCCCCCTCCTGATCATCCTCCTCAGCATCCGCCCCATCCTGATCGTCATCCTCGTCCTCACCCTCATCCATCTCCCTTCCTCGGCGGCATACGATCCCCCCCTTTCAGTCGCAGCCCGCGACCTTCGAGGAACTGGCCGAGGGAAGACGAATCCGCTCAGAAGGAGGAGCTTCCAAGTGCGAAGCGTTCCTCTACATCTTTCTGAGCAGATGTAGTCGTTTCCAGCCACCAGTTCCATTGAAGGTCGAGGGCGGCGGCGCAGCACGAGGGAGGCAGGAGGCAACGAGGCAGACCAACCGCGCTGCAGCGTATCCCCAGTCTGACACGAGCCCCGCTCGCGCATGCATCTATACAGCGTGCCTACGCAGCGGTGGTAGGTCAAGAGCTTTCGCAACTCCTCATCCTTCCTCCCTCCCTCCTCCCTCATCCCTCCTCCCCCCCTCCTCCTCCTCCTCCTTCTCCTCCTCATCCTCCTCCTCCTCCTCCTCCTCCTCCTCCTCCTCCTCTTCCTCCTCCTCCTCCTCCTCCTCCTACTCCTACTCCTTCCTCCACGCGCATATCATTCCCCAGCTCTGACGAGCCACCGCCGTCTCACGCTTTGCCAAGGGCGCGCAAAACGCTGGACAGACGAGCGCCGGGCCACGATTCCAGCACGCGGCCAGAGGAGCCGTTCGCACGGGCCCGGGCGAGCCTACGTTGAAACTTTTCGAAATCAGAAGCGATCTCGGAAGCATTGTCAGCATGCAATTGCACCAGGGCGTCCCCGAATGCAGGGGGATAGGCTTGAGTCCCCTTCAGGTCTCTGCCACCATCGACTGCTCTAGAACCGTCGGCCCTCACATCAGTTGTGAAGGTCTCGACCTCTGGGTCCAGAGTCTCGCGGTCCTGGGGCTCAAGGTCTCGCGATGGGGTGAGTCGCTCGGGGCCCTCTCTTGTCCTGCTTCCTGCCTCCTCTTGGTGGGTTCACCATCCAGGGCGCGGAGGCAGGGGGCAGGACGAGGGAGGGTCCCGAATACGACTCACCCGATCTACAAACCCATGGGGGCTGACAGAAGAAAGGGGATGGGAGGTTGACCCGTTGGCGGACCTCGAACACGAAATACTCAGGGAGTTTCTGCACGCATCGATGTCCAGACCAAAGCCACGTAGGTTTCTGAGTGGTGCTCCCGAAATACGCTCAGCCCCAAGGGAGGCCATGAAGAGCCTTAGGTTATGTTACTCCACCATAAACACGTGCGATTATGAAACCCTCAGGAATGGAAGCGGGACCAGCGAAGCTTCGGGACGACTCATATTAAATGAAACCATCCAGATCTTGTGTTTCTGCAGCATCCATTGAAACCGAGGATGAAATCTCATGCTGGACCCCCTGGGCTGCTCAAGGACAAAGAAGACCCCCTTGCTCATGAGGAGAAGTATTAACAGGATGCATCGCTCCACCATGCAGTTGGCCTGCCTGACGTAGCGCTGAGTCTCGTCTCCTTCTGGGGCGGCCCAACACTCGGGGTGGGGATTCACGGGGGCCTGAGACGATGTCAGGGAATGGAGGGGGTCGGATAACTAGGTTTGAGAGGAAGTCTAGGGGAAGGAGGGTGTCCTAGTGGTCGGTCGACTCGGCGTCCAGCAGTATTCCGATTCACCCAAACCCAGCTGGAGCACACAGGGGCATTCGAGTTCAAGCCCTTCTCCTCAAGGGCAACAGCGAGCGCGATCAAATGAGCGAAACCCAGAGGCGACAGGATATCCATAAAACGATCGTCGATGTCAATATCATAACCGCAGGCCCTGCGCTGGGCCCCCACCCGTCGTCGGGAAGGAGAAGAACAAAGAGAGGGAGGAGGATGAGGAGGAGGAGCCGGAGGAATGGCAGGAGAGTGGAGGACGGGAGGGTGGAGACGAGCAGGGCGGGGGAGAGGAGGAGGAGGAGGAGGAGGAGGAGGAGGAGGAGGAGAAAGAGAACTGCGGGTGTGTGCGCGCAAAGCACAACTATCCGACAGCTGTGTTTCCAGCTCGGCGGGACGCGTCGGCGATGCTCTGCACGCCAGCGAACGTCTCCAACGTGCGAAGCCAAGGTTCCATGCCCACCTCCTCCCGGAGGGGCAAGACTCCCAGAGGGGCAAGAGCAATATGAAAGTCCAGGTTGGGTGGCCTGCGCGGATTTCTCAAGTCGGCGCTGCACTCTGGCGCGCGAGGCGCGCTGAAAGAGCTGCAGGGCCATCTCAAGAAATCCGCGGGGGTGGGGGGGGGCAAACCGTTCGTGATCCCCCTATCCTCAGCAACTGTCGCCACGACATGAATGAAATCCAGCGGGGCCCCGAGAATTTGCAAGGCCAGGCACAGAGTCCCGAGCGCGTTCGAGGTCTCAGTTGCCCTTGATTTTCTAGAAGAGCGCTTCGCCCTCCTGCCGACCAGCTTCGCCATGGCACGGCGCGGAGACGGCGGGGGGGAGGAGGACGAGGAGGAGGAGGAGGAGGAGGAGGAGGAGGAGGAGGAGGAGAAGGGGGGAAGGAGGAGGAAGGAGGAGGAAGGAGGAAGAAGGAGGAGGAAGGAGAAGGAAGGAGACTGGAGCACGAAGAGGATGAGGAGGAGCAGGAGGAAGAAGAAGAGAAAGAGGAGGAGGAGGAGGAGGAGGGAGAGGAGAAGGAGGAGCAGCAGAAGCATGGGCAGGATCAGGAGCAGGAGCGGGAGGAGCAGGCAGGGTGGAGGAGGAGGAGGAGGAGAGGCAGGAGGGCCGCCCGTTGGGACCCCTCTGGCAGGCCACCTTGGGAGCCTTGCGTGGCTTCGATATTTGGTGCAACTCTCTCTCTCTCTCTCTCTCTCTCTCTCTTTCTCTCTGCGTCTCTGTCTTTGTTGTGGTTTGTTTTTTTTGTTTCTCTCTCTCTCTCTCTCTCCGGTGCCCGGGTGAGGGGGCGCATGCATTCATTTCTGCAAGCCTACGAAATCCCATGGCGAGCCATCCCGTCGGCGCGCCGAGCATGCATGCTGCGCGGCTGCAGGCGGTCTTGCCTCTCGCAGCACGCGTCAGCATTCAGAGCCCCAGAGCGTTCGACGGCCTGCACGTTGGCGCCCGCCGCGCACCCCGCCCTCCGTTCCACAAACCGTGGAGGGGAGTGGGCCTAGGGGCAGGGTCGCGGCGGGCGCAAACACGTGGGCCATCGGATCAAACGCGATGCCAAACGTGTTGGCTCTCTCAGGAGGGCCAGTGCCTCTTCTGCTGCTGCTGCTGCTGCTCCTCTTCCTCCTGATGTCCTCCTCCTCCTCCTCTCCCTCCTCCTCCTCCTCCTCAACCTCTGTCCCCATCCTCCTCCTCCTCCTCCTCCTCCTCCTCCTCCTCCTCCTCCTCCTCCTCCTCCTCCTCCTCCTCCTCCTCCTCCTCCTCCTCCTCCTCTTCCTCCTCCCTCCTCCTCCTCCTCCGTCGCCTCCTCCTCCTCATCCCCTCCTCCCTCCTCCTCCTCCTCCTTTTCCTCCTCCTCGTCCTCCCCCTCCTCCTCCTCCTCCTGCTTCCTCCTCCTTCTCCCCCGCTTCCTCATCCACCTCCTGCTCGGCCTCCTCCTCCTCCTCCTCCTCCTCCTCCTCCTCCTCCTCCTCCTCCTCCCCCCTGTTGCACTGGGCCCTCACGCCGCGGCCTCCGCGGCTGCCTGCGCAGCGACCGCCTCGTCCCAGTGGACGGCTTGCTTTGCCTGCTCCCACGCCTTGTCGACGCTGCCGATCTTGGACCAACTCAGGTTGCGGTACGGCGGCGTCCTGCTCTCGTCGTCGTTGAGCACGTGCACGTACCGCAGCCAGAAGGACTTTCGGCGCCGCACAAGGGGGGCATGGAGGGGGGGGGGTGCCTTCTTCAAAAGGCCAGGGTCATTCGGAGGCATCTTAACCCTCTGAGGTTTGAACGCCTCGTTTTTTTTTTAAAGAAGGCCCCCCTCCCCCAGTCTACCCCCCTTGGCGCGACGCCGAGCCTCGTTGGCCAACTGCACCTCCACGCGCGCGTCGTTGCCGACCACCCCCGCGTAGATGGTGTAGTTCTTCTTGCCGCGCACCTCGCTCTGCGGCAACGCCTGCCCCAGAGGAGGGGATGGGAGAGGAGGGGGAGGAGGAGGAGGAGGAGGAGGAGGAGGTGGAGGTGGAGGTGGAGGTGGAGGTGGAGGAGGAGGAGGAGGAGGGGAGAGGGAGGAGAGGAGGAGGGAAGAGGGTGAGGGGATGAGAGGAGGAGAGGAGGAGGAAGGAGGAGGAGAGGGAGGAGGTGGAGGAGGAGGAGGAGAGGAGGAGGAGGGGGAAGAAGAGCAAGAGGAGGACGTGGAGCAAGGGGAATACGACGAGCCTCCGTCGGCATGTCCGCCGGGATCGGCAGCTTGCCGTCGGGCTTGAGCGTCTCCTCGAGCGTCGCCGCAAGCGCCTCCTCCAGCGCGAGGGCGCCCTCGCCCACCTCGGCCTCCTCGGGGGCGAGTGCGTCCTGCTCGTCCTCGGCCTCCTCGGGCAGCACCTCCTCCTCCTCCTCCTCCTCTTCCTCGGCCTCCTCGGGCGCGAGGGCGCCCTCCTCCTCGGCGTCGGAGTCGAGGAGGTCAACGACCTCAACCTCGCGGGTGGGGAGCTCCTCTTCCTGTATTGCTTGGCCCTCTCCTCCTCCTGCTCCCCTTCATTATCTCTCTTTCTCTCTCTCTTTCTCTCCTCCTCCTCCTCCTCCTCCTCCTCCTCTTCCTCTTCTTGTTCCTACTTCTCCTTCCTTTCCTTTTCCTCTTCTTCTCCGCCTCATCCTCCCTCTCCTCCTCCTCCTCCTCCTCCTCCTCCTCCTCCTCCTCCTCCTCTTCTTTCTCCTCCTCCTCCTGCGCTCCTCCTCCTCCTCCTCCTCCTCCTCCTCCTCCTCCTCCTCCTCCGTTCCCTGTAGGGCAGGGTTGGCATCTGTCCGCTCACCTGCGGCACTTTGCCGATGGCACCCTTGAAGCCGTCGCCCATGAACGCGTCCGGGGGGGTGTCGGTCTCGACAGCCTCGGGGTCAGATTCGTCGTCGTCTTCCGTCTCCTCCCCTCTACCGCCCCCCCCTGCTCCTCCTCCCTTGCTCGTCCTCCTTTTCGTCCCCATCCTCATCGTTGATCGCCCCTCTCCTCTCCTTCCCTCTCATCTCCTCTCCTCTCTTTCCTGCCCTCCTCTTCCTCGTCCTCCTCTTGATCCTCGAGCTGCTGCTGCTGCACCTCTTCCCACTCCTCCTCCTCATCTTCCTCATCCTCCGCCTCCTCCGCTTCCCTCCACCCTCCCTCCCACCTTGTCGTCATCCTCCCCTTCCTCCTCTTCCTGTTCTTTCCTCTCCTTCTCCTTCTCCTCTTCTCCCTCCCCCAGTCTTCATTCCTCAAGCGTCCTGGTACTCGTCGCGCTCCCGCCAGACGCCGAGCTCGCCCTGGTCGGCGTCGCCGTGCGAGACCTTGAGCTTCTTGGCGGCCTTCTTGGTCTTCCCAGGCCTCTTGAACGTGGCCTTCTTCGCGCTCTTTTCCTTGTTGGCCTTCTTCTTGGCCGCCGCCTTCTTCTTCTTCTTGCTCGACGAGGTCTCCGCCAGCCGTTGCAGCCGCACCTGCTTATTCTGAGCCATGCTGTCCACGGGCTTCGGAGGCGTGAGGATCAAGCCGCTCATGACCTCGGCCATGCCTGGCGGCGCTGCTGGCGGGGGGCTCTTCATGGCGTTCAGCCAAGCAGCAGCAGCCGGCTCAGGCGCTACGTGCGCCGACGAGCCGAGAAGACCTGCCGTGCCCACCACGGCGTCGCTCTCCTGCAACTCTGCCTCATCTCCAGCATCGGCCAGGTCCAGCTCCGCACCCGCCTCGGAGTCGGTGACGGCGGCGTCTGGCCCCAGGCTCTCGGACGAACCTTTCGGGCTCTTGACGAACATCTGCTTGATCTCCAGCAGGTTGCGATCCGTGCTGCTCTCGCTGTTCCGCCACAGGAGACGAGCGTGGCCCACCAGCTTGCTCAACGTGATGGCCTCCTTCACGGCCTGCTCCTCGGCGCTCCTGCTCGGCGCCGCCACATTGATGAGGCGCCTCTT